CTCTGAAGGTTATCGGCTCCTCTGCTGTCACATCCTCTGTGGAGGATTTCCACAGGGGCCCGTGGTGCCTGTCTGAGTCAGACACAGACGATTGGTGACACGCTGCCGCGTTTCCCAGCCCTGAAACCTGATCCCCAGCTGAACCCTAGAACCAGATCTGAACCCTGGAAGGTTCTGAGCCGACAGCTGAATCAGTGGGAGGACAGGAGGCTGGAAGGCCACCAGTCCGAGTCGTTTCCCTTTAAAAGCTGCAGGTTGTGATCAGGAGGCAGGACTGGGTCGGGTTTAAACTGCAGCTCAGACTGAAGCTGAAGGATGAGCGACTCATCGCTGCCTGCAGATCCTTCCTCATTATCTCTAAAGCTGTGAATTCAAGAAGTAGAACGACCCAGTTTCAGATGAGCTGCATTTTGGCCCCAAGCGATTGGGAACAACGAACCATCTGCAGAACCGATGCCCAGCTGCAGGCAGACAGACAGAAATGTAACACTTAGAATGAGTCTGTTCTTCAATCAGCCTTTTAACTCTGATTCCACTGGAGGATTTAGATCCAACACTGGAAAACGATCTAGAAAGAAGTAAAAATGTCTTATATTAAGAGTGTTTACCCTTAATTTGAGTAGGTAAATTAGATAGTTTGCCAATGGAATTTTATAATTAGATAATATGCACTTAAAATAAGACAATTCAATTGTGTTTCCTTATTTTAAGGCAGGTTGAATTGTTTCAGCTGCTGCAGGAAGTTCATCCTCTGCTGGGCTTTCTAGGTGAGGGGATGAGAAACTGTCCCGTTATGTTTGAATCTGGTGTCAACTGGACCGAACCGGTCGGACTCCTTGAAGGGTCAATAAAGATGGACTTTTCTAGATTCAGTAGGACCAAATCAGAAGGTATCAGATCAGTTCTGTTAGCTCCAGTTAGACACACTGGGGACAAAGTTAGTCCCTTCCTGGTCCTGTTGGACCCAAATATGACCGCTTACACAGATCCGGCAGAATTCAGTCGGGTCCTGATTCACTCTTTCGGATCAGGTTAGAACCGGTCGGATCCAGTCGAATCGGTTCTCCTCCAAATGATAAAGCGATTTGTATTAGAGACACTTTGAGGTTGAAGGAGGAACCTGTGACCCGGATGTTCGGCAGCGTCGCTGTTCCGTGGTTCTAAAAGGACAGATATTTCCTAAAACATCAGAATGAATCAGTTCCTCCTCCAGTCAGACTCTAGAACATCAGAATCCAGAAGAACCTCCTGCTGCTGGACCCAGTTTGCTGTAGGATGGTCTGTTCTTCTAAACCTTTGGGTTGGATCAAAGGAGGAGGTGAAATATTTCCCATCAGGCTTTGCTCCTTGGCTGAGGTGCGTCCAGCAGATAACCTCCCTCAGACACAAAGAGCTGTTTGTTCTGCTGTCGCTGACGGAGGATGCTGATTGGACGGGAGCCGACCGGACTTTATCAGCTGAGAGCAGCTGTGGGATTGTTGTCCAGATCCTCAGAGGCTGTTTGTTGTTTTAATTGATCTCTAAGCCAATTTAGAGGAAGACGTGTTTGAACCGATGTTCTGGATCTACTAATTAAAAGCAGCAGCTGATCAACAAACCTGTGGTTCTTTTGGACCTGGAACTGAGTCAGAACCAGAAGAATCTTCTAAATCTTTAGAACCTGCAAGAAGCTGAAAAACGGTTCCTGTTAGAGTCCGACTCATGATCCACAGACAAGTTGGACTTCCTACTGGTTCCGGGTTGAAATTAGCTTGTAGAACCAACTCCTACAGTCAGTCGAACCTCCTCCTTCAGTCAGTAGAACCTCCTCTTACAGTCAGTAGAACCTTGTCCTACAGTCAGTAGAACCTCCTCCTTCAGTCAGTAGAACCTCCTCCTGCAGTCAGTAGAACCTCCTCCTACAGTCAGTAGAACCTCCTCCTACAGTCAGTAGAACCTCCTCCTACAGTCAGTAGAACCTTGTCCTTCAGTCAGTAAAACCTCCTCCTGCAGTCAGTAGAACCTCCTCCTTCAGTCAGTAGAACCTCCTCCTTCAGTCAATAGAACCTCCTCCTGCAGTCAACAGAACCTCCTCCTGCAGTCAGTAGAACCTCCTCCTGCAGTCAGTAGAACCTCCTCCTTCAGTCAGTAGAACCTCCTCCTTAAGTCAGTAGAACCTCCTCCCTAAGTCAACAGAACCTCCTCCTGCAGTCAGTAGAACCTCCTCCTGCAGTCAGTAGATGCTCCTCCTGCAGTCAACAGAACCTCCTCCTGCAGTCAGTAGAACCTCCTCCTTCAGTCAGTAGATGCTCCTCCTGCAGTCA